ATGACTTGTGGTTTTAGAAGTGTGCTGTTGTTGTCAGGCAGTTGCCAAGTCCTCCAATAAACACTCTGAATAATATATATTTTGTTTTTGCAATGGCGGGTTCTCGTTAACTGGCGAATTAACTAAGAGAAAGACGTAAACTGGAGCATTTTGAATACGAGGAAGAGTCCTCGAATAAAAGTCAGCTTCTCAGCTTGGATGGCTTTGAGTATTTAGGTTGGGTTAATCATTTATTGTGTACACTTAAATATTTGATAAAGTTATGCAGGGGAGTGTCTGGTTGAATTCCCTTTCCAAGCAGGTGTGAAAGCTTGGAAGATTAAGCTTGGCTGGCTGAGAGAATTTGCTAAGAATGAAGAATGCCACAAGTTCGGCAATGGGATATATTTGCTTTCTCAAAACTTTCCTTTGGTACAGTGGTTCTCAACCTTTTTCATGCCGCGACCCCCAACCGGTCGTAAGTCAAGGACTACTCAACCGGTCGTAAGTTGAGGACTACTCAACTGGTACAGCACCGTTTGCAGAATGGGACTTTTGGCGGGCTCAGCAGGGCAGAGACAGCCTGGACAATTCCTATTGGCTTTTGAAAGCCAATAGAATTAGACTCTATTCAAGAGAGTCTATTCTATTGGCTTTCAAAAGCCAATAGAATAAAAGGGAGTAGCACAGCTAAGGAAAAGGGGGAAAAAATGGCAGACTGCGTTGTTTGGCGACCCCCGTGAAATGGTCGTTCGACCCCAAATGGGGTCCCGACCCACAGGTTGAGAACCTCTGCTTTAGTATGATTTATAAAACGTCCTGGCTGTATTTAGTTCTTCCTTCGGATATCAGGAGCTCCAATAAATTAATCTTGCTGATCATTTATCTTGTGTTATAATCAATTGTTAAAGTTGTTATGAGGCCTCAGGGATTCTCTCATTTCACGTTACAAAAATACATGGGGGCTATCGTGAAGTATAACAGAGTTGGAAGGGACCTTGGAGGTCTTCTAGTCCAACCCCCTGCTCAGGCAGGAAACCCTATACCATTCCAGACAAATGACTGTCTTAAAAGCTTCCAGTGATGGATCACCCAAAACTTCTGGAGGCAGGTTGTTCCACTGGTGAATTGTCCTCACTGACCGGAAATTTCCCCTTAGTTCTAGCTTGCTTCTCTCCTTGGATGGCTTCCATCCGTTGCTTCTTGTCTTGCTTGGGAATCGGTCTTAACAGATTTATGAAGAGTGCCTTCGTTCTTTGAAACGGAGTTTGTTTCTGATGTGTTCACTTACTACTGGGAGAAAATTGGGGGAGGGGGGAACCCCCAGATTCAAGACCCCTTTCTTTTCAAGCCAGGAGATGACTTTAACTCGGTCATCATCGCCGCTGGGAAGGATTGCAAAGCCGTTTTAGGAGATGAAAGGTTGACGGCATGATCCAAATCTCCCACCAGTTTTGGAATCCTATCTCACGTCAACCGCTGTTTGGCTGGGAGAATTCTGGGAGTTGAAGTCCACGAGTCTGAAAGTGGCCACGTTGGGAGAGGCGTATTCTAGACCTACGTAGGATTTTTGAGTTTCCATAAGCAGCTCTTCCTTGTAGTAAAATCAAAAATAATGTTTAGTAACTCCGTAGCTTCTCCTTTCAACGCTTTCATTGTCCTCAGGAGACTCCCACAGTTCTTGCGATGGTGGAATCACTTCCCTTGTAACCTAATCAGGGCGTTAGTTGTATCCTGTGTAACCACGATTGAACTCTTCCCCGATTTGACAGATCCTAAATAACCCCCCCCCCCCCGATGCACGAATAAAATCCCACTTCTCAGTGCTTTCCTTGGGGAGCCAAAGCTTGTCTTAGAAGCAGTTCGACTGGGAATAAATTGCCTTTCCTTTTGAGTTTTCCCTTTATCTGCCTTACACCTTCCAAGATCTTATTGGTCATGAAATGCCGTATTCATTCATGGCCTTGTGGGCGACTCCTTTTCTTGTGGTTTTATGGTGTGCCTCTAAGCCAGGGGTAGGCCACCTTGGCTCTTTTATGACTCGTGGACTTCAACTCCCAGAATTCCAGAGCCAGCCATGCTGAGGAGAAAGGGGGAGGTTTCCAAGCTGAGCCAGGCTGGCTCAGGAATTCTGGGAGTTGAAGTCCGCAAGTCATGAAGGGGCCACAGTTCCCCCATGCTGGCTCAAGAATTCTGGGAGTTGAAGTCCACGAGTCATAAAAGAGCCAAAGTTGCCTACCGCTAGTCTAGGAGGCTCACTGCTTAGAACAGGAGGACTTAGAACAGTGTTTCTCAACCTTGACAATTTTAAGGCATGTGGACTTCAACTCCCAGAATTCCACAGCCAGCAATGCTGGCTCTGGAATTCTGGGAGTTGAAGTCCACATGCCTTAAAATTGTCAAGGTTGAGAAACACTGACTTAGATCAAGGGTAGGCAACCTTGGCTCTTTCATGACTTGTGGACCAACTCCCAGAATTCCTGAGCCAGCCATGCTGAGCGGAAAGGGAGAGGTTTCCAAGCTGAGCCACGCTGGCTCAGGAATTCTGGGAGTTGAAGTCCGCGAGTCATAAAAGAGCCAAGGTGGCCTAGCCCTGCTCTAGGCTGAGATTGACAGGCAACGCCTCTGGGGTGAATCTCAAAATAGAGGCAGTTCTCGATTTACCACAGTTCATTAGGACCGTTTAAAGTTACAACAGCACTGAAAAAGAGAGACTTGGGATTGTTTTTCACACTTACGACCCCAGCAGCATTCCAGTGGTCGTGTGATCAAAATTCAGACGCTTAGCAACTGACTCATATTTATGACAGTTGCAGTGTCCCAGGGGATCAGGTGATCCCCTTTTGCGACCTTCTGACAAACAATGTCAATGGGGAAGCCGGATTCACTTAAAAACCATGTTCCTCACTTAACATACGGAATGATTCACTTAACAACTATGGCAAGAAAGAAAATGGGGCAAAATTCACAGAATAGAATAGAATAGAATAGAATAGAATAGAATAGAATAGAATAGAATATAGAACAGAATAGAACAGAACAGAAAACAGAACAGAACAGAATAGAATAGAATAGAATAATTGAGTTGGAAGGGACCTTGGAGGTCATCTAATCCAACCCCCTTCTCAGGCAGGAAACTCTATACCATTTCAGGCAAATGGCTGTCTTGTTTCTTCTTAAAAACTTCCAGTGTTGGAGCATTCACCACTTCTGCAGGCAGGTTGTTCCACTGGTTAATTGTTCTAACTGTCAGGAATTTTCTCCTTAATTCCAGGTTGCTTCTCTCCTTGATTAGTTTCCATCCGTTGCTTCTTGTGTGTTACTGTTTAATTCGTATGACAAGTGAGATGGGCCATTCCATTCTGATCAAGGTGGGTTCCTGGCATTCATCAGAAACTCTAAACAGCAGAAAAAAAGAAAGAAAGGTGTCAGATATGCTTAAAAGGCACCATGTGTAAGTGTGTTTGTGAGGAGTGTTTGTTCCTGCTTGCCTGTTGGTCTTGAAATCCTTATTTGAGAGTAAAGTCCACGGAATGCAGTTATGTTTGACTTCTTAGAAAAATCTCTTCAAGATTGTCCGGCAGCAAAAGCCTTTACACATAGCTATGTTTTATTTTTATTTTTATTTTAAATGAGATTAGTGTAGGCAAGCAAAAGAACATCCAAAGTGATTCACTAATTAAGATGAACTGAAAACTGTCTTAATTAAAAAGCTGTATGGTGGAGGACTGTATAGAAAAAGAGAAACAGCCTAACAGACAAACAAACTTGCTAAGTATTAAAAGTCTGAATCCTTGAAATCTGGCAGGTGAATCTGGCATGGAAAAAAAACCCCAAAACATTATGTCCTCTGTATTCAATAGGAATGTGATATAAACTTAGAACAGAAATCATACGGATCATAATATTTGTAATGTTTTTTTTTCCTCCTTCTTATAGTTGTGAAGAGTTTTCTGCATACTCATGGACTCCCAAATGTGCTGGTTTTTAGAACTTTCTTGGGGCATTATTTAAAGGTGATAGTCAGAAAATGTCTTTGTCCTTCCTCAAAAGCCAGAACTAGAGGTTGTCTGTCACCCGTGAAGCTGAATTCTGGAGGAAAAAAAAAAAATCAGGTCAGGCAAAAAGCAAATCTTATTTTTACACAAAGTGTGATTAAATTGTCAAATTCGCAATCAAGACATGGGGTGCTGGCTGCTAGTTTGGCTGGTTCCAAACAGGGACTTAGACCAACTCATGGGAATTATGGATTAATGCAGGGGTCTTCAAACCTGGCCCTTTTACGACTTGAGGAATTTCCTAACAATGAGGACAATTAACCAGTGGAACAGAAGTTGCCTTCAGAAATCGTGGGCACTCCATCACTGGAGATTTTTAAGAAGAGACTGGACAGCCACTTGTCTGAAATGGTATAGGTTCTCCTGCTTGAGCAGGGGCTGGACTAGAAGACCTCCAAGGTCCCTTCCAGCTCTGTTTTCTATTCTATTCTATTCTATTCTACTCTACTCTACTCTACTCTACTCTACTCTACTCTACTCTACTCTACTCTACTCTACTCTATATTCTATTCTATATTCTATTCTACTCTAATCTACTCTACTCTACTCCACTCTATTCTATATTCTATTCTATTCTACTCTGTTCTACTCTATCTACTCTATATTCTATTCTATATTCTATTCTACTCTAATCTAATCTATATATTCTATTCTATATTCTACTCTACTCTATATTCTATTCTATATTCTAGTCTACTCTACTCTACTCTATATTCTACTCTACTCTACTCTATATTTTATTCTATATTCTATTCTGTTCTACTCTACTCTATATTCTATTCTATATTCTATTCCATGCTACTCTATACTCCTATTCTATTCTATTCTATTCTATTCTATTCTATTCTATTCTATTCTATTCTATTCTATACTCTACTCTATACTCTATATTCTATTCTATATTCTACTCTACTCTATATTCTATTCTATATTCTACTCTACTCTACTCTACTCTACTCTACTCTACTCTACTCTACTCTATTCTATTCTATTCCATTCTATTCTACTTTTGACTGCAGCTTGATGATTCTGAGTTGATTAAAATCCATGTGTCTGCCTTTCTGATGCTTCCCCTATGAAACCTGTGGGGTAGGTGAATTACCAGGAAGAATGACAGCTGCAGGCAATAAATGAGGACAGCAATACAAGGTTCGGTGCTGGGCAGAGCCTCGTAAATCATAAGGAGAGGGCCGGTCTGTGGGGCTGACAAATAGCTGAGCAGCTGCAAGTAGCTGCTTTCCAGGTAAGAATGATTGCTTTGGCTTCTGGGAAGCTGTTCAGAAATTGCCTCTCCTGCAGCATCTAGGTGTCCTTCTCCACGGCAGAGAGAGAGTCAGGGCTACAAGGATTAAAAGAACGGCTGTCACCTCTCCGATTTGATACCGTGTACCTACCCATGCTGTGGACTTTCCATTTGTGCGCCATTTAGCGGGAGCTTTTCCTCTTCAGTCTGTAAACTGCCCCTCTCCCCGAGTTCCTGTTGGGAAATTAATGTCTAGGAAATTAAGGGAAGATTGGGAGCCAGGACTGGGTTTTGCCTTTCAAACTTTCCTGCCGTGGGGAAAAGCTGCCTGCCGTTCGCTCGCAAAGGCCGCTTGTTGAAATGAAGGTGGAAAAAAGAAAAGAGAGAAGAGAGAATTTAAGGAGAAAGTGACGTTGAAAGAGTTGGCCTTTCTAGCCCACCCTACGTCTCCTGACCACTTCACCCTGCATCGGATGAAAAGCTTGGTCCTCATCGACAAGCCTCCGTGATTGGCTAGAAAGGTAAACTCTTTAAATGTTTATTCTCCTTAGAGCAGCAGTTCTCCACCTGTGGGTCGGGACCCCATTTGGGGTCGAACGACCATTTCACGGGGGTCGCCATACAACGCAGTCCGCCATTTTTTTTCCCCTTTTCCTTAGCTGTGCTACTCCCTTTTCTTCTATTGGCTTTTGAAAGCCAATAGAATAGACTCTCTTGAATAGAGTCTAATTCTATTGGCTTTCAAAAGCCAAAAGGAATTGTCCAGGCTGTCTCTGCCCTGCTGAGCCCGCCAAAAGTCCCATTCTGCAAACGGTGCTGCACCAGTTGAGTAGTCCTTGACTTACAACCGGTTGAGTAGTCCTCGACTTACGACCGGTTGGGGGTCGCGGCATGAAAAAGGTTGAGAACCACTGCCTTAGAGGCATCTCCTCCTCTTCCTCCCTTCTTCCTTCTGGAGATGAGAATGTTGACTGTTGGGTTGGGAACAATGATTGTTTGAACAAGGAGAGCAGAGAGTAATGAGTTCAAAAGTTCAAAAGAGATAAGCATAGCCTTCTCCTTTGGGATAGTCCTCCTATGGCAGGTAAAGGAAGGACTTACGGCATATGGCCTCCATTTCATTGGGAATGGAATGGAATAGAATAAGGAGTAGAATAGAACAGGGAATAGACTAGCTGGAAGGGTCCTTGGAGGTCATCTAGTCCAACCCCCTGCACAGGCAGGAAACCCTATACCATTTCAGACAAATGGCTGTCCAGTCTCTTCCGGTGTTGGAGCATTCACCGCTTCTGGAGGCAGGTTGTTCCACTGATTAATTGTTCTCACTGTCAGGAAATTGCTCCTTAGTTCCAGGTTGCTTCTCTCCTTGATTAATTTCCATTGGTTGCTTGTTGTCCTGCCTTCAGGTGCTTTGGAGCATAGTTTGACCCCCTCTTCTTTGGGGCAACCCCAGTTGTGTGAAGTCTGTGCTAAATACTAAGTTTCTACTTTCAGGCAATCTAAGCTTTTGTTGTTGTGGTTGTTCTTGTTGTTGTTCAGTCACTAAGTCACGTCCATAACACTACAAAATGTCCATTGTTCTGTTTCAAAACATTTTAACAAACTCAGAAAGAAATCTCAAGTTCATAATTCTTTGCCTCCTTCCTTCCTTCCTTCCTTCCATCCTCCCTTCTTTCTCTTTCTTTTTGCTATCTATCATCTCTCTCAATTCCTCCCCCTCTCCCTTCCTTCCATCCTCCCTCCCTCCTTTATCTTTTTGCTATCTCCTCCCCCTCCCTCTCTCCCCCCCTTGCTAATTTTGTTGTATATTTTAATTGTTCAGTTGGGAAGTTGGCCACTGAGAGAATCTGAGTTGGATGGAATATATATAATATGCAAATATTCAGGTGTCTTCCGTGATTGTTTGAGTAATGTTCTCTTTTGCAAAACAAGCACTGTGAATAGACTTTTTTTTTTCCCCCAAAGATTTTGGTTTTCATCCTTCTCTGCCACCCTGGAATTGTTAAACAGCTTGAGGTATATTCTTGAAGATAAATAAAGCTTCAGATTTAAGCAGCTTTCAGGTGTACCTGCCTTTCTTGGGGAGGTGGAGAGAACATTTATTTTGGCAACTTTGAAGACGTTTTATGAAATTCTGCAGTGAAAAACCAGCTTTAAAATGAAGTAGCAATTGTTCTCCACAAACTGTGCTTTATGTATGGGCTATGTATATAGTTTTGGATTTTTTTTCTAAAAAATAATGCTATTTACAGCTGCTGTAATATAATTGCTGCAATAATGTTTGGCTTTCGGAATAAGTTGAAGCCTCACTCAAAAATAAATAGAAGTGGCAGAAAGCTTCAACATCATATAGTATATAGACTTTGCAGATTAAAAGAGGCAAATTCAGGATCTGCCCTTGAGTATACATTCAACCGGGGAACTGGCAGCAGTTATTACCTCTTGGAAAATGAACCTTGTAATATGCATGTTTGCAAACTGTGTTTTCATCTTACAAATAAGCCAAGGCTATTATATCAGCCATTCTAAAATAAATACTTGCAATTGATATTAGGGCCATACTTTTATAAGGTTATCTCAGGTTATGAAACAGAGCACAAGGCTTTGAAGGTTTCTGACATTCATAATCATGTAGCTGAAAGTAGAACAATTAACCAGTGGAACAACCTGACTCCAGAAGCTGCTGAGGAAGGAAATATTAATAGGGCAGAAAAATATATTTTTCCTCAAAAGGATTTTTTAAAACTAAACCTGGCCCAAATCTATCTCTCTGCCCCAAGCAAGAGCTAGCCCCATACAAGTGCAGATGTAAAACCATCAGAAAGTTGAAGCCAGAGCACTCAAGAAGACAAAGAGAAGATCTGCATGCCCCACCCAAACTCTAGGAGTCATTAGCCCCATCACCTGGGAAGCAGGATAGGATAATAGGATTAAACCACAGATATCAAGGCCTAGAAAAACACTCAGAAATAGCCTTAAGGTTCATGCCACAGGAACAGGAAACTATTCCAAACAAAAGGCTACAGCTTCTTCAATAAACTGTAACCTTCTTCCCAAAGCAGTCGCCATGTTGCTTATTTATCCCCGGCTTGGATGAACCATGATGAAGACTTACTTCTGACACTGCAAATGCTCCAACACTGGAAGTTTTTAAGAAGAGACTAGTCAGCCATTTGCATAGTTTTGTGTGCTGCCTGCATCCCACGGTTGCTGGCATGTCACGGTCTGGTATCGGTCCACATACCAGCGGGGGGGGGGGTTGGGGACCCCTGGTATAGAGTTTCCTGCCTGAGCAGGGGTTGGACTAAAAGACCTCCAAGGTCCCTTCCAACTCTGTTATTCTAATTCTATTATTATTATTTTTATTGAAAGGTAGATTTTGCATTCACATCCAGGATTTGGAAGAAAGAAAAGTAAGAAGAGGCAATTGTTTCTGGCACTTAGTTAGATGCTTCCAGGTTGCCTATGAAGTTCTCCCAAAGGATCTTGAGACAGACAGACAGACAGACAAATTGTTGATAGGTAGAAATAGAAATAAAAATATAAACAACTCATTTTGTTAAGAGCCGTAGTGGCACAGTGGTTGGGATACCGTTTTGCAGGCTAATTCTGCCCACTGCCAGCAGTTCGATCTTGACCGGCTCAAGGTTGACTCAACCTTCCGTCTTTTCCAAAGTCGGTAAAATGAGGACCCAGATTGTTGGGGGCAAATAGGCTGACTCTGTAAACTGCTTAGTGAGGGCTGTAAAGCATTAAAAAGAGGTATATAAGTCTAAGCGCTATTGCTCTTTCTACAATAAATGCTTAGCATCCTGCTTTCTCATAATTAACCTAATTGTCTATCCAATTTCCAGTTGTTTTTAAACTTAAATTCTAGCAAAGAAAGTCTGTTTTTTTGGGGGGGGGATTTTTTTGGCCACCTTTGCTCTGGAAGCTTGAAAGATCTCAAGGTTTGTCCTCAAGATAATCTTCCAAAGTCTATGCAACCGTCTCATTGATTTGGTCTTGCAGATACCAAGGCTTCTCCTTGCAGACGCAACTTTGTGGCTCCAGAGCTCATCGTATTCTTTTACTGTCTCCTCCCAAGGTTGGAGATTCAAAAGGGGGGAACAATGATAAAAAAAATATTTTTTCCTGCTGGACTATTTATCCTTTTCTGCTTCCTACTGTAGCAGTAGGAAACTTTTGTTTTTTTTTAAATGCATTTAAAAAAAAAAAAAAAAAAGGAAAGAAAAGACAGGGACATCTGCTAGTTCCTGCTTATGAACCAATCTTTGCCTGGCTGACTTTTGGGGAAAAAACAAAAAAAAAAGATGTTGAGTGTTTGGAAAAAAAATTCGGAGACGAGCAACTAAGATGATCTCAAGAGTGATAAGGGACGTATTACAATACTACAATCCTGCAGACATTTCATGACCCTGCTTGGGAATATCGTCAGTGCAGGAAGGGAGTGGGTTTTGCTCTCTGCTTGCTAGATGTTATCTAGTTGTGTCATAAAGCATCTGCAGAAAAAAATCAACCACCTTCGGAGAGCACCATGGACCCCAAAGTTCAGCCGTGAGCTCTTCTCTTGGTACCGCTGGCATTGTCTGACTTCTTTTGGCTTCTAACAGAATAGCAGAGTTGGAAGGGACCTTGAAGGTCTTCTAGTCCAACCCCCTTCTCAAGCAGGAAATCCTATGCCATTTCAGACAAATGACCCTCCAGTTTCTTCTTAAAAGCCTCCAGGGGTGGAGCACCCACAACTTCTGAAGGCAACTTCTGTTCCATTGGTTGATTGTCCTCAATGTTCAGACGTTTCTCCTTAGTTCTAGGTTGCTTCTCACTTTGGTTAATTTCCATCCATTGCTTCTCGTCCTGCCTTCAGAGAACCCAAAGTAAAAAAGATAAAAAAAGAAAAACAAAGTCCAGTTGCCTCCTGAAAAAGCACCTTTGGGACAACCAGGTCCTGGATGACTGAGAATCAATTTCCATAGACATTGAGCCATGCACTTTGGGATGAACCCCCTTCGAACGGTGCAGGAGTATGACTGCATTTCCAGAAAACATTGCAGACTCCAGGAGCCATCTCTGCTTCAGTTTGAGATGCAGACAACACAGACTCGTTCCCAACAGCCTGCACCTGTCTCCAACAGGGAAGGGACACATCCTGCAGCCAAGAAGGCTCCACACCCATTTGCACCGCTCAGGTGATCCTGAGGACACAGGTAAACCTCCATGGGGCCTCAACGACTTTCCAAAAGAAGGCAAATGACCAGCTGTCTGCAAGGAGTATAAATCCTTCCATTCCCCACCATCCAGTCAGAGCTGAAGAAGCTTCTTCGATGAGAAGCGAAACATCTTCAAAGAAAAACAGGAAAGTCCAGTTGCCTCTTGAAACTGGGACAACCAGGACCTGGGATGACTGAGAATCTCCATAAATAAGAGACCCCAAACTTTTTCTCTTCCTCTGTTGGCTGAACTGACCTTCAAGATAGGACTAAAAGAGAATTTCTGTAGCTTGGGATTGAATTGTGCCGTC